TACTAAAAAAAAAAAAAAAAAAAAAATCCAGTTCTATAGTCAAATTAAATTACTGTTAAGAATTTATTCAGTTATCACATGCTCCAAGGTTGTTAAGATTTCTTGTTAACATTAGAAAAATCAAACTGGTCTCCACCAGGGACTTTCATATAAGTATGTGCTACCTAAGCTAGTTTTTAATCTTCAAATAATAGTATCCTCTAAGTTTCTCTAGCCAGTAAATTTTTTCCTTTAATCACTTGTTGCACCAGGCGTGGTGGCGCATGCCTGTAATCCCAGCACTAGGGAGACTGAGGCAGGAGGATCGCTGTGAGTTCGAGACCAGCCAGGTCAGTCTCAATTATACAGTGAGACCCTGTCTCAAAACACCAAAAAAAAAACAACAACAACAACAAAAAAAACTAGGTTGGGAGCATAGTTCACATTCATATAGGGAAAATAATGTATTCAAATATAGATTAATTTGGTTTGTCTTGGTAGTCTGCCCTTTGTGGTGAGAATATGACATCAAAAGCACAACAGTTAAAGTACTATTATTACAGTATTGATTTCTAACCAGTTATTAATCAGATCAAAATATTTTTGCCCACCTTCTCTAAAAACAATAAAGGTATTTTTCAAAACATGACTGAAAAATACAAGATTCAGCAAGATTTCTCTAACTACCATTTGTGCATACCAAAACAGAATTAGAATACACCCATAATAAAAATAATTTTAAGCCCCATTTACATAAATTAACATTTACAAACATTTCTATTTTCTACGGTACCATGGATATAAATGGCTATGTAAAAGATGTTCTTATTCCTCTGATGTATATGATTTATTCAGGAATAAAAAAATTAATGCAAAAAAGTTCACCAACAAAACTATTAGATATGGATACTAAAGAGGCAGAAGGGATACTGTATCAAAAAGGACAAGACATTCCTCTGGAAGATGAAGAAAAATATCCCCCAAAGTGGAAGGATTTGTTCATTGAAGTTCACTGAGGAGAAAGCTTTGTGCTTTTTCTGTTTCTTCTTTGTAAGAGTCTTTTTTGTCTATTACTTGCACTCTGCCTAACACTTTGGCCATTCTTTTAAGATTATGATACACAGTATATTAACAGTGTAATAACTATTATGATACATGGTACATTAACTATTGTTATTTTCTAATTATTCTTTTATAAAAATTTTGTTCTATTTTTCCATAGAAGCTAATAGTGCTTTTTTGTATTTTCTTTTTTTTTGGTTACTGGGGATCGACCTCAGGTCCTTGCACTTGCAAGGCAGGAGCTGGAACCACTGAGCTAAATCCCCAGCCCTGCTTTCTTTATTAATATCTGCTTGTACTACATAAAAATAAAAAAATTACTGGAGGTGGGTGATGTTAGAATTAAAGAAAGCAACAAAGGCAGATGTTAGGATGCCAAGAAAGAAGGCCAAGGACTAATCTAGAATCCCCATCAAGGAAGCCTTTTATGCCAGAAAATCAGTCACCTTTTTTTCTTATTTTATTGACCTTTCCATAGCAATGTGGACCACTAACCATAACCTCTTCCTTGAAGTTCTCCCCTCCACTGGCTTCCCTGACAAGGCACAATGTCATTTTCCTCAAAAGAATTAAACATTTTTAAAGTGGGCTAGCACCAATGAATTGCACCGGCCTTCAAAATGATCAAAGTCAGAGCTAAGTAGAGGTGGGGAGGGAGACACAAGACCTAGTATCTTACTGGCTAGGCCATTTCCATCCTACTTTGCAGGATAAAATTTTCAGTACCATTACTATCTGCTCTTTAAAAACTATCAGACAGGAGGTGAAGTTTAACTGTTCTGGTTTGTTTATTCCTTGGTCCAAAATAGTAAGAAAAACACAAAACCAAAAGATTTTTTTAAAAAAGCAAACCAACAACAACAAAAAAGCCCCAAGGGCTAGGGATTTAGCTCAGTAGTTCTGTTGCCTGCCTTGAAAGCACAAGGTCCCAAGTTCAATCCCTGGTACAAAAAAACAAACAAACAAACAAATGAAAGCCCCATTATGAGAAATACTTGTATCTGTAAAGAAGCCACCCACAGGAAGGAAGAAGTTTCATTTTCAGTGCATCAAAATTCTTTACTATGTCAAACTACCTCATGTTCCCAACTCGTCCAACTTCTAAATTTGACCTTGCAATTGGCTAAGGACCCCTTATCATTGCCAAAGTTGAATCTTCCACAACATACACCATTTAACAGTAAATCAATAAATATGCATTCTTCACATGCAAATTCTAGGCACTGTGCAAAGTGCAAAAGAATGAGGTATCTCTTTTGTGGGGAGTACCAGGGATCAAACTCAAGACCTTGAGCTTGCAAGGCAGGCGGCAGAACCATTGAGCTTAATCCCTGGGCCCAGAATGAGATTATCTAAAGCTAGGACCATACATAATACAATGTAACAATCTACTGTGGCTGCATTAATAACATATGTATTTGCAGAAGTGGTAATAAATATTGCTTTAAAAAGATAGCTTGGTTCAGGGACTGGTATATAATCCATATGCTTACACCAGAGTATAAATCACCTATATTCCCAAGAACAGTAGCTACATTCATCTGAAAAAAAAAAAAATTTGTTTGTTTGTTTTTTGAGACAGGGTCTTGCCATGTAGTTCAGACTGGTCTTGAACTCAATATGTAGCCCAGGCTAGACTTGAACTCATGGTAATCCTCCTGCCTCAGCCTCCCAAATGCTGGGATTATAGGGGCGTGCCACCATGTCTGGCTAAAATATGTTTTCTTACCAAAACTTTATCAATAAATTAAGTCTATATAGATTTACATTCTGGCATAAACTCCCTTTATTAGTGGAGCTCTGATAACACTAAAATACAGGAAATGAAAAGAGAGTGGTAAATCAAGCAACTTTTAAAATGGGCCTTACAAGATAAGCAAGATTTTGCCAAAGAAATAAAAAGAAAAGGGATAAAGAGATTCCAGGCTATTTCAGGTAGCTGAGATCCCTTCATTTGTTAAACAAAGATGTTCTTGAAATGCTGTTACAGCCAAATTCATGTTGACTGACTAGACTCTCCTTGTTTAAAAATTTGATTTCTCTGATTATCTCTTCACCCTCATGTAATTCTTCTGCATAGAAGAGTTAATTATTGCCTGATAATTATATACTTTACTGAATTCTATTTGTTCTCAATTGTTTCTGAATCTTTCTGTCTCTCTCTCTTTTTTTTTAATTGGAGATTACACTAAACTACTTTCTTTTTTGAGATGGAATCTCACTAAGTTGCCCGACCTGGGGTTGAATTTGTAATCTTTCTCCCAGAGTACCATTTATGAGATAGGCAGGGTCTCACTTTGTAGTTCTCACTGGCCTCCTGGACTCGCAATCCTCCTACCTCAGCCTCCTGAGTGCTGGGATTATAGTCACATGCCACCACATCAGGCTTGGTTCTGAATTTGTCTCTTTGGTTTCCCTCAAAATAACCTCTATGGCCTTAAAGGGGAATAACTAGCTTTTTCACAAAACACAAATCTGGCATGTTAATACCTATGTAAAGTGCATTTCAACTGAAAACTTTTAAGTTGAACAAAGTACAAATGTAACTTGCTGGTCAAGAACTTTAAGTGTATTTCCATTCTCTGTTTTCATCTCATACCCACCTAGGTTTTTTTTGTTTTGGTACCAGGAATCAAACTCAGGACCTTGTACTTGTAAGGCAGACACAGTACCACTGAACTAAATCCTAGCAAAGCCTTATTTTTTTAATTACAAAAAAATACTTGATTTTAAAAGTGCATCTGATTATTCTAATAGTTCTGCCTCAGTCTTCTGGCTCAGGATGAATTAGCCGAGAAGACAATAAAATGACCCATAGTCAGATTTTTTCGTAAGTACAATCTAGTTTCACATCAACTGAATTTTCTTTCCTTTTTAAGTATAAAAGCACAAGTCATGTGCTAAGTCTTGAATTTCTTAAACATTAACTACAGGAATGAATTCTTGGTCTTTTTCATACTTAAGAGTAATCACATATATAATTTAATATACATCTGCCTGGCATATAGCACTTCACCATTTTGTGCTGAAAAAAATAATCAAAGAATAAATACACCAAGGTAGTGTATGTACATTTTAAAAATAAGAACCCCAACTATTACTGCCTCAGCCACCAAACAATAAGTGGCAAATAGTTCTCCCTGAAAGAGAAGAATGTAATCCAATTATGCCATATTTGTTATATAAATGGAGAGTTTCTAGTCAGTATCCTCATAAAAACTACCTGTAATAAGTCTCATCTAATGCAGCTTATAGTCTTGTTCCTCAGAACCAACATTATAAGGGAAATTCAATTAATTTAACTACTCTAATAAAAACTGTCTGATGATTTTTAAACAATCAAGTAACAAAATTCTCAAAGTCACTATGTACCAATTCTGAAGAACAAAAATAGGATGAGTCATTTTCAAATGAATGATTTAATGTTATAAAGACCAAACTTCCTTTTTCACATGACTCATTATGGCTAGTGTGGTTATAATTTTGAAGTTCCAGACCTGCCACCATAACACAAAGTTATTTCACTAGTCTTGAGGTTCTTACTCACTTTCTTCTTTCTTCCCGCCATCTTGCAATCTCCTCCGGGGTGTCTAACTTGATCTTCTTCATACCAGGAGCATGCATCTAGGAGCAAAAAGCCTACTGAACATCAGGAAGCATATTATATGCTTTTAACTAAGCAGGAGACTGTATCCAACATTAAGTTTATAAGCAAAACCAAGCTGAAAACTATGATAAATAAGCCAATTTATATATATAAATTTAGATATATAAATATCTTTATTGTAACTTTTATTTTAAAGAAGGAACAATTTTTATCAATTTATATTAATACTATAATATAGGAAAATGGAATAACATAATTTAGTTACAATGTAGATGTATATTTTCCCAACTGACATTAAATACCCAAATGAATAACTTACCAACCAAAATTAAGGGCGGCAGCTAAAGAAATGCACAAACAAGACAATTTTATGTAGGACAACATAATAAAACCAGCATAGAATTTGGAGTTAAGAAACTCAAAGGAGGGCCAGGGATTTAGCTTAGTGGCGCAACACCTGCCTTGCAAGAGCAAGGTCCTGAGTTCAGTCCCCAGTACCAAAAACAAACAAACAAACAAACAAAAACTCAAAGGCAAGAATAGGTTCTGAGGCCTTGAGAAAATCCTTCCCCACCCCATCCCACAATATTTACTTACTTCATATAGGTGTCTGTGAGTCTACAATTGAGTTAAGAATTTTAATATACTCTTATAAAGTAGAAAGTACAGCAAGGAACAACAGCACATGCCTGTGATCCAGTACTTTAGAAAGCCAAGGCTGGAGGATTCCAAGTTCAAATCCAGCCTGAGCAATTTAGTAACTTGAGAAAACCTCATCTCAAAATAAAAAAGGGTAGGGGGTGCTGGATATAGCTCAGTATGAAGGGCCTGGCTTCAATCCCCAGTATTACAAGGGGTAAAAAAAGGACAAAGTACTCCATAAAGATCACTTATAGACTATGTAAACGATGATGTATGACAACAACAGATTAATAAGAACACACTATCAATAAAAGGATAGGGTTAAAAAAAACCACAAAAAACTCACATTTCTCCAATGAAACTGGACAATCTTCTCATGTGCACTAAAAGAACAATCTACTTCAGGACACTGTAAGAATTTTTTTTAAAAGACCATTTAATGTTTTTCACATTAAAATTTTCCTACTATATACACAGATATAGCCTAGTCATTTTATATAATTATCTCATATGTGGTATTATCCCTTCATTTTTATTTTAACTAAAAAAAAAAAAAAAAAAAAAAAAATCACTACAGACTGCATTTAAGAAAGAATGATAGGGCCAGGATCCTGCCACCTGCCTCAAAAGTACAAGGCCCCAAGTTTGATCCCCCATACCATAAATAAATAAATAAATAAAATGACATTCAATAACACCATAACACATCTCATTGGCTTCTCCTGAATGAAAACAGACATCAGCAATGTTATAAAACATTCTTATTTCCTAAAGTTGAGAAACACTCCTATAAATGAAGAGAACTTTGCTAAATCAAAAACTTTTAAAATTTTAAACATCCTGGCTTAAATTTTTTTTTTTAAGTAACATATGGCAAATAACAATGTGGTTAAATGGTCTGGGAAGCCCCAAAGGTAAAGACCTAAAGGTATAAGGCCAGGGATTTAGCTTAGTGGCACCGCGCCTGCCTTGCAAGTGCGAGGTCCTCCTGAGTTCAATCCTTGGTACTGAAGGGGGTGGGCCTCAAAGGTACAGAAGACAAAAGGGGAGGCCCCACCCTCTTCCCAAGCAGTAGAGCTGCTAGACCTCCCTCTCTGCTGCCATTGTATCTCTCCCTGGAGCAGTGAGCATCCCACTGTCATTTTTGTGACATTACATTTTTGTGAAATGTAAATCCCCAGGGCACTATCCCCACCTGTCAGGTCATTATACATTTCTATGGAAACTATAAACTTGTAAGGAAAATAAGTTTGGAATTTCTACCAAAAACAGAAATCAAAAGCTATTTTGCTACATAAATTTCAAGACAACTAAGCATACTTACTTTTGTATGTTCAGACATGTGTTTGTCATATTTTTCTTGATTTTTAAAACCACGATCACAAGTGTCACAAAAAAAGTGAAAAACTGGTTCCTTTCTTTTCTGCAAACAAAAAGAGGCATCAGCTTTTGGTAAAAACATCTTCAGCAAATAACAAAAATATAATTATCCTTCTAGTTAAACATACTTTGATTTTTCACATAACCTTTATGAAAGGTGTGATTAAAATGAATGTTTAAATTAAAAAGTATTGCAATAAGACATATTGCTATTAATCGCTCTTAAAATACTCCCTCTTGCTTCAAACACATCTATCACATCATTCTTGCCCCTTTGTGAAGAGGTTCTGATACTTATATACCAGGAGTGATCAAAATTACAACAAATACTATTGTCACATGCCATCCGACAAGAAGGCAGCCTCATACACACACCAGCCTGTCCTCATCCACATTATTCACTGGATGTGGCACCAAGCGATTTCTGCCCTTCTCCAAGTTCAAAATGACCATGAATGGTAAATGGACTGATTTAGGACATCAAGGTAGCTGTAAGAGCACAATGAAAGAGGCTCACAGAAGAGAATTTCCAGAACTGCTTCCAAAGTGGCAAGAACGACGAGAAAGTGCATTCAAGAGGAGGAGTACCTTGAGGGTGGTTAATGGCAATGTGCCTGCTACTGCAATACATTTTCAAAATTTAAAATTTCACTGTATTTTTATATCACCTCTCATTTGTGCAATATACTTCTAAATATATTTCTAAATTAAGAGAATTTTTTTGCTTTTTTAATTTTTAGTAAATATACTAACAAAAGCCAGGCATGATGAAAAACCTTTAAATCCAAACAAAGTGAATATAAATTATGAGTAAATTTCAAGTCGGTACTAAAATTCGGATTTAGTACAACATATGTCTAAAGAATCTAAAAATAAATATTCAAGGTAAGAATTTTCATCCTTTAGGAAAAATATTTCATACACAGCTTTTAAATTACAGAAAAAGGGAAAAAGAATCATTTAGGTAAAGATTAGTTGTGGTTCACAATTGCTATTTTCACGCTTAAACATAAACAAAAATATTATTACTTCATAGTCTAGAAACTATAAGAAATAGTCTCTGATTCTTTAATGCTGGGGATATTATATTGGTGAAATGACTTGTTTTGGATTTTTTGGGGAGGTTTCAGGGATCAAACTGAGGACCTTGTGCTTGCAAGGCAGAGGCATTGCACCAAGCTAAATCCCTGGCCCATGTGAAATGACTTAACATAAGCTACACAGTTTTCATGTCAAAATGAAGGATACTAATTACATGCTACATACACTAGTCAACTTATTCTCAACTCCTGGAATTGCTTATATACCTTAAATTTGAAAGATCATATCTGTTAGTTACATGAGAATAAAGGTAACCTACTTTAATACAATACTAAAGTATAATCTAAGAATTGTTCTTCATTTTTAAAAAAAACTATAGGGCTGGGGATTTAGCTCAGTGGTTCTACTACTAGCAAGTGCAAGGTACCAGGTTCCATTCCTGATTAAAAAAAAAAAAAAAAAAAAAAAACTTTATAAAAATGAATACTATTAAAGAAATTGAAACATTTACAATAAATTAAGATGAAAAACAAATAATGTACAATAACAGTAATAAATCCAGTCTGAAATTCAAACATGCACATACTAAATATAAACTATTTTAAATTAGAAACATTACATTTAGTTTTACTGGAATATAACACAAGGAGAAAAAAACTGCTTTTTTCTTTTTGGTACTGGAGATCGAACTGAGGCTCTTGCGCTTGAGAGGCAGGCACCAGAACCACTAAGCTAAATCCCCGGCCCAAAAACTGCTTTTTCACTAGTCATATCTGTTCTTAAAGGATCCTATGTTAAAAAGCAAAAATTATGAAAAAAGGCCTTTTTTTAGTTTATTCTGAACTTCATGCTTTTTTTTTTTTTGAGACAGGGTCTCACTATGTAGTTGAGACTGACCTGGAACTCACTATGTTGCCCAGGCTGGTCTTGAACTCACAGCAATCCTCCTGCCTCAGCCTTCTGAATTCTGGGATTATACACATATGCTACCATGCCCGTCTGAGCTTCATGCTTTTAATAAGAAAAAGGGGGCCTTCTATTCTCCCAAACTTCTATCACTCACCTCCCAATCTGCTAATAATTTTTCATCTAAGTTTAATAACATTTACATTTACTTGTAATCACATTTTACAAGTATTTTGGCTCCACATAATGTATGGAAATATTTTCTTTTTCTACAATTGCTGTTTTTCTCAAAGGGATTTTGCTTAAAATTTTTATTTAGACCTAAGATCCTTTAAAAGCCTATTAAAGCAAAGCTCCACTGTATCAGTAACAGATGTCTAAAACACCATGACAGTTATAATATAATATAACAAGAATAAAAGATATGAGACAATAACATAGGGACCAAAGTGTCACATTCAAGAACATCTTAGAAATACCTTTTTTTTCTGTTTTTTGCTGGGAGGGAAGTTGAAGCCAGTGACGTGTGGATCATATTTTTGTGGAAAATAAGAATATTTACCTGAAAAACAAAAAGGCCATTAATTTTTACAAATCTATAATTAAAAATTTACCATGGTATATCAAAGATATTTGCATAAAATACTAGCAAACCATCTCTTCTGGGAAGAATAGTCACAAACAATTAGCAAAAGTTATTACTAGTTTTAGGTATTTTTCAAATGAAACACTGATGAGATCACAGAGCCACAAATGCTTTAGATATCTAAATATACTGGGCAGGGCTGGGTGTGGTGGCACACGCCTCTAATCCTAGCACTGAGGCACGAGGATCATCTGGAGTGGAGGCCAATTTGGGCTACACAGTGAGATGAAGGCTAGCCTGAACTACACAGTGAGACCCTGTCTCTAAATAAATAATAATAAATAAATGGACAATCTAACCAGATAAATTTCTTCAGCTATTTCAAATACTATAAGCATAACCAGTAAAATCTCTACCCCTGATCTTTCAGCATCAATTTCATACCAGGAAAACAGACCTTTGTGAAATTTCTCTCTTAAATCCTGCTGCACCTTTCCATTCTTACTGCCATGACCCAGTTCAGAAACTCTAATGTTTTATAGATTACTGTGCCACCCTCTCAGATTGTCTTCCAGCTCCTAAACCCTCTCTAACAGACCTTGTACACCTGTATTACAAAAATAATTTTCCAATCATGTCACAATTTGGCTCAAAAACTGCAAATGGCTTCCTGGAGTCTTCAAATGATATTCCAGTTTATTTCCTCATACTACCTTTCTCCCATACCTTCCACATACCAAGACACTTCTTCCAGAAGTTTTCCCCAACTTCCTTTGCACAATACAATTACCTTTCACATGTTTCTATCACTTACAACACCATGCTATGATTTATTCTTATGAACGTATCTCATTTGAGTCCGTCAAACTCACATTCCTGACATCTGGCACTCAGTAAACACTGTCTGAATTCAATTTAATATGAACTATGTCTTAGCCAGGCGTGGTGGCACAAGTCTGTAATCCCAGCAAACGGGAGGCTGAGTCAGGAAGATCTCAGTGAGTTTGAGGTCAGTCTGAGCTACAAAGTAAGTTCAAGCCTAAACTACAGTGAGACCCTATCTCAACCCCCGCTCCCCACAAAAAAATTAAGTGCATCTCAAACAAAGTTGGATAATCATTTTATGTGGACGAGTCTTTAACTTTAAATATGGTTTATATACTGACATCCAAATTTACAAATCTTCGGCTGAAAGTACAGACTCATAAAAGTCTTGCCGGGGGTTTTAGCTCAATGGTGCTGCCACCTGCCTTGCAAGCGCAAGGTCCCAAGTTCAATCCCCAGTATAAAAAATAAAAATAATTTTTAAAAAATCTTTTCACTATTTCTGCTTGACGTAAATATATTCCAAACACAACTCCTGATCTCAATCTGCTCCACCACATCTCTTTCCCGTGTCTGTTAACTGCAATTCCATCCTTCAACTTGTTTGGCAAAAACTTCAAGTTATTCTGTTTTCCTCTTTAACCCCATATCTGACATTTTATCTTTCAGCAAATCATTTTAACCCTACCTTTAAATTATATCTAGACTCTGACTACTCATCATTCTCACATCTCCACCCTGGTCCAAGTCCTCACTAGAACAACTGCGACAGCTTCCTAACAGGCCTCGTTTTCAGTCAGTTCCCATCAGCGGTCACCTTAATCTATCAAAACGTAACCTGGATAATGCCACTCTCCTGCATTATCCTTCTCGCACGACCAAAAGTCAAAATCCCATGATCTAAAAGGACCTAGCAAGTCTGCTCTGTTCACCGGTCATCTGCAACTATAACCCAGGCTCTGACCACTTTTGATGTACACTGTAGCTCCTTCCTCGAAGCCTTCGCACTTGCCCTTCCTTCAGTCCTGATCACTACTCACCCAGATGTAAGCACATAGCTCTGATCTTCCACTCTAAAAACTTTGCTCAAATGTCCCTTTCCTTATGAGACAATAACATTTAAAAATGCAGTTATTCTTTATTCCCTCCACAGCATTACCTTCTAATAAACAACTTTACTTATTGTCTGTCTTCCTACACTAGGAGGATGTTAAACTACATAAAAATAAAGACTTCTGTTATTCACTGTTATATTCCCAGCTCCTGGCACACAGCTGGGATCCAATAAATAACGACTATATTTAATGAGCAGACAAGGGAAACATTTCACGAGGACATATCTTGAGACGTTACCAAACTTCAATAGCGCAGGGCAGAGAGAGAGAAGGGAGAAATAGGGAAGAGGGATGACATAGAAGGTACTGACGTTGTACCACAAGGAGCAACCGCCTACCTGGAGGGCTGTGGGGTTTCTGAAGTCGAGGGAAACTATCAAGAGGCTGTCCCCAGTACCATGATGTCGAAGCCTGGAAATTATACGGCTGGCCGCTGAGTTGAGGCTGAGAATCAAGTGGGGATTGGGCATCGAAGGGGGGCTGCTCCCCAGGGAGTATCTGGGCGTCGAAGGGAGGCGGCGCCTCAGAGAAAGACTGTACCTCCATAGGAGGCTGCACCCTGGTGAAAAGCTCTGACCCGGACGCGAGAGAAGACGAAGGAGGTGGCGGAGGTGGTAGCATCGCCCAGAGTGCCCAGTTATCCCGTTGTGGGGTGGAGTTCCTTAGGGACCCTAGATCAGGGGCTGGAAGCCACCCAGTATGAGATCCCACATCACTCTCCGGCTCTGCCATGCTGCTCTGCAGGTAGGGCGCTCAACGTGCTACCGTGGAACGGACTTTAGGCGTCACTTCCGTTACTGGGAATCACTCCGTTTGGCCAACCACAGGCGGGTGCGTCGTTAGTCAGCGCCGGAAAAACTTCCGGCATTCGCGGCGCCTAGCGGTCAGGCTTTTTGGCAGATGTGAAGTGCGCCGATAGACTTGTACGGGTGACCATTGTCTGCCACCGCGGATGGCGAGGGACCTAATAGGGCCGGCGCTGCCGCCTGGCTTCAAGAACCGTGAGACAGCAGAGGAAGAGGAGCGGGACCCGAGCCCTGGTAAGCGAAGGCTTGTTCCTGTCCACCAGGCCCACCTGCCCTCCTCTTGCCGGCCCTTCTCCAAGAGGAAAAGGTCTAGAAACTAGGAGGGCTGGGGAGTGGAGAGTGGGCGCGGCCAAACGCAAGCTTACTCAATCTCCTCAGCCATGGCAGTAGCTACGAAGGAGGCGCTTCAGAAACTGAGTTTTGGCCCGATAATCATTATAACAACGATAGATTCCCATTTGGTGCTTACTGTGAGCCGGACTCGGTGCCAGTTGGTCAACACACATTCAGTCGTTTAATTCTCCCAGCGTCTGTACAAGGAAAAGATTACTAGTCCCATGTTTACATATGGGGACACCAAGGCCCTGACAGGTGCCCAAATGACCAAGCTAGTCATTAGTGGTCCCCAAATTAGAACGAAGTATTTCTCTCAGCCTCTGGCTAGTACTGCTTTCTGACTTACAAGACCTTGCAGAAGACCCTGTTCCCACTAGCCGCTCACCTGCTTTCCTAGGTTATCATTCTGCTTTTGCATCTGACAGCCCATTCATTACCCAACAAGTCCCAATTTCTGCGCACCTCCTCAACGCTTGGCTTCTGGTCTCTGGTTACACTTCTAGATGTGCCTGACAAAATCCTATCCATCCTTGAAGGCTGAAGTGACCCCTCTAAACTCCCTGAAGTATTTTTCACGCCTTCCTCTTTACCCTCGGGGTTCCTTTTATTACATTGTATATTTAACATGTTGTATTTGAACAATTACTCGACATAACAGTTTCCACTATTTCACTATAAACTTTTTTGTTGTCTTTTACCTTAACACATAATAGGCACTTCCCATATACAAAACTAATGCTTCTCAGAGTCCTTCTTACATATTTATCTTCTTTGTCCTAATGTGTAGACTGGGACTGACACTGTAGTTGGAAAAAAGTTAAACAGAAAGAATATCCCAAGTATTCCTGAATCAAATTCTTCTTTGACTACCCAGAAACCATGTTTTCACTAGAGGGTTTACATCTCATTTCTATTATAACCACTATAAAATCTTACTTTCATTTTATTTTTTTTATAAAGCTGGAACAAGACTTTATTTTATTTGTTTGTTTGTTTATTTTGGTACTGGGGATCAAACTCCAGACCTTGCACTTGCAAGGCTGGTGGTGGAACCACTGAGCTAAATAAATCCCCAGCCCAAAATCTTACTTTTGTTTCAGCAAAGTAGTTTCCATCAAACTAAGATTAAGGAAATGTGTGAGTGAATTCTGCTGGATGAATGTTCTTAACAGTGTATCCTCTTACTGTTGGTGGGTGTATGTGTAGTTTCTATTTTTTTGGCTATTATAAAAAGTACACCCATATATAAAACACACATATTATCTACCATATTAACCTTTTTTATGTGTGTGGTACTGGAAATTGAGCCTAGGACCTTCACACTGAGCTATATTCCCTACCATTCTTCTATTTTTTTTTTTTTTTTTTT